TTTGCCTCTTAGAGCCCCCAGCACTTGCTGCATCCCTGGAGCCCCCAGTGCCTGCTCTGCCCCCTCACCTAGCCCTGCGCTGCCTCCCAGCTGCCAGCTGAGCGCTGCTGCCTGGTTGCGGCTGTTCTAAGGCTGCTGTCCTGGTGGCCCTCCCACTGCACATCAAAGTGCTCTTCTGCAGTTGGGAAGAGCCCCCACCCCCACCCTCTTAGAGCCCCCAGCACTTGCTGCATCCCTGGAGCCCCCAGTGCCTGCTCTGCCCCCTCACCTAGCCCTGCGCTGCCTCCCAGCTGCCAGCTGAGCGCTGCTGCCTGGTTGCGGCTGTTCTAAGGCTGCTGTCCTGGTGGCCCTCCCACTGCACATCAAAGTGCTCTTCTGCAGTTGGGAAGAGCCCCCACCCCCACCCTTCCAGGCCTGGCAACAGCCCAGCCCCCGACACACACACAGGATCATCTGGCACGTTTCAGGGGGCTCCACAGTTCATCCCCCTGCCATTCACAGTTGGGGCGAGAGGTGCAGGGTCACTTACCCATCTGCCAGGCTGCGTGACTGCCACCACAGCTGGAACCAGGACCGTGGTGAGGCTGCCCCAGTAGGAACAGCCTCACCATGGCCCAACTCCAGCTGCAGCGCACTGGAACAGCCTACAGTGCCACACACCCTGGCTATGTCTACACTGGTGGGTTCTTGTGCAAGAACAGCTGTGCATCCACACAGCCCACCCACTCTTGTGCAAGAAGGATTTACAGCCATGGTCACCAACCAGTAGATCGCGAGCTACCGGTAGATCTCAGGGGCTCTAAGGGTAGCTCTTGAGCCCTCTCTGAACTGCGCACCTACACAGTACATTTACATTAGATTTCCTCAGGTAATGTAGGCGGGGCTTCAAGGAAGGGGTGGGGCAGTAGATCTTCTCCTGTTCTGAGACTTAAAAAGTGATCTTGGGTGTAAAAAGGTTGGAGACTGCTGATTTACAGTAAAGCGTGGGAAGAGAAGGCTTCTTGCGCAAGAGCTAAGTTCTTTTCTAACAAGTGTAAGATTGCTTGCGCAGGAGTTCTTGCGCAAGAGGCAGTATGAACGCAAGGCAGGGGTTACTTGCAGAAGAAACCCCTATGGCTAAAATGGCCATCAGAGCTTTCTTGAGCAAGAGAGCGTCCACACTGCCATGGTCTTGCACAGAATCACATGGCAGTGTGGACGTGTTCTTGCACAAGATGTTCTTGCACAAGAAACCGTCAGTGTAGACAGAGCCCGTGAGAGGAGAATTGTTAGTGCACAGATGCGCACCTTATAGGGTGCACCTTACAACTCCCCAGTGGGTGGGGTCTCATCAGCATCTGGGGGCGTGGCCTGGCAGAGTGCCACAGCCCGGTAGGCAGGGTTCACAGCCCACCACCGGTCTGCAGATGGGTGGTTGGGAACAACTGCCCTATAAGATGTGTGCACTAAAATTTCTCCTCCACCCTCCCGGGCTATGTCTACATTCAGGGCTTCTTGAGCAAGAAATATGCAAATGAGGCTAAGATTGGAATATCGTCGAGCCTCATTTGCATACCTAATGAGCTGCCATTTTTGCAGAAGAGGCTTTTGCGCCAGAAGGAGCTGTCTACACTGCCCCTTCTTGCACAAGAAAAACCCTCTTGCGCAATGCCGCTATGCCGATTATTTTCAGGAATAACGGCATTATGCAAGAGGGTTTTTCTTGCACAAGAAGGGGCAGTGTAGACAGCTCTTTCTGGCGCAAGAGCCTCTTCTGCAAAAATGGAGTGCACAGATGCGCACCTTATAGGGTGCACCTTACAACTCCCCAGTGGGTGGGGTCTCATCAGCATCTGGGGGCGTGGCCTGGCAGAGTGCCACAGCCCGGTAGGCAGGGTTCACAGCCCACCACCGGTCTGCAGATGGGTGGTTGGGAACAACTGCCCTATAAGATGTGTGCACTAAAATTTCTCCTCCACCCTCCCGGGCTATGTCTACATTCAGGGCTTCTTGAGCAAGAAATATGCAAATGAGGCTAAGATTGGAATATCGTCGAGCCTCATTTGCATACCTAATGAGCTGCCATTTTTGCAGAAGAGGCTTTTGCGCCAGAAGGAGCTGTCTACACTGCCCCTTCTTGCACAAGAAAAACCCTCTTGCGCAATGCCGCTATGCCGATTATTTTCAGGAATAACGGCATTATGCAAGAGGGTTTTTCTTGCACAAGAAGGGGCAGTGTAGACAGCTCTTTCTGGCGCAAGAGCCTCTTCTGCAAAAATGGTCTTCAAAGGCTGGCGATTCCCTGTGGCCGTTCTGAACCAAAATCGGGGGTTATTTGGGTTTACAGGAGACTTCAAAGTGTTGGATTTTGCTTCTGATTTGGAATGATTTTTCTCGCTCCTCCCCACCCCGCCTCCAAAATCTGTGGAACAGAAAGCCTGGCTTCTTGCCAGCTTTCTCAAGGCAGTGCTCAGCTACCTTATGGATATTTATCTTCTCTTCCAAGTCGCACATTCTGCTGGTGAGCTTGTGCATTGAGGTTCTAGAATGCAAGGACCTTCCTTTTCTCCCCCCTACAGGAGCTGGGCACAACTGAAGTGCGAAGGCTGCTTTGGACAGCCTTCTTCTCCAGTTGACACCACCTATAGCCCCAGGCTGTGTCTAGACTGGCCGATACTGCAAATGGTGAACTGAATTCAACAGCTCCTGATATGAACAGGTATCAACCTAGTTTTTCATATTTAAGATGGGTTACCAGGAATCATACATGACAATATCAAATCTTTCCACTCTCAAGTCAGCATATTCACAAAGCACCTATAATTTTGATTCATGCATTTATTGGATAGTGAAAGACAAAGGAGGGGAATTAGTGTAGATATATGTTCAAATTAAAAAAAAAAGCCTGAAATAATTAGGACTGGGCTTCTACATCTCACGTTCAGAACTGACTAGGGCTGTGTCCAGACTCAAGAGTTTTTTCGAAAATGTAGCCTTTTTTCGAAAAAACTTCACCTGCGTCTAGACTACAGCGGGTTTTACAGCATCCTATTTCTGGCCTACATTGGGTAGAACAGTTCCTGGCTCCCTGACTTATGTTCTTACTGCTGGACTGGGCTTCTCTGCAGCACTCCAGGGGTTAATGGGGGGTCAATCTTAAAACGCACATTTCATCTCCAGTGCTTCTGAGACCGTCTGTGCGTGTCTTCGTATTGCAAACACGCCACACAAGTCAGCCAATCGGTGTCAGTAGGACCCAGGGGCAGAGCAGCCGGGACAGAGGCGGGGAGTGAAACAAATGTAGGAGCGGGCGGGAGTTTCTTTCAGAGAGTGAGAGCAGGGAAGTTTGGATTTGTTCGTGGAGACTTTGTTCGGCAGAGACGAGCAGCAGGCAGGTAAGAGTCATTTCTCCCCGGGCTGCGGGGGCAGCGGCGCAAACCCCAGACCATCATGCACACGGCGCGTGTCAATTCGAATTCATCCCATGGGTGATTTCAGGCTGACACCTCGTGGATCACAAACCGGAGTCCGAAGGCTCCTGGGCTCAGGAATAGCGGAGTAAGATCAGTCCAGTCACTACACGAGCAGCGTTTGTCTCTTGGTCTTTATTTGGGGCGGAGGGGCGAGTCTCGTTTACACGTTAAAACTCTTTCACACTGGCAGGCATGGTGGGATACTGGCGCAAGCCAGGTCTCTCCACAGAGCAAACAGCAGAGTCCACGCTGGCTCTTTGTGAGCAATCGGGAAAAAGACAAAAGTCTCTTGTAGGAGTGCGCGGTTTTTGTCACCCAAACTGGGTGTTTTTGCCTGAGGAAATCCACATGGCAGTGTGAACGCTCTCTCTGTTTTGTGGCCAAAAGGCAGTTTTCAGTGCCAGTGCAGATGAGCCTTAGAATGATGCAGCAGCAGTTTCGTTGACTTTACAATGGAAACCGAAAGCACTTTATTTTAGAAGAAAGGGTGGAACACACAGAAAGGAGCCAGTGCAGCGATGTCGTTACACCTTATTTAACTCCTCCCTACAGACCAAACTTCTCTCACTCTGAAAGTAAAAGGGTGAATCATTAATCCCCTGGAATGATTCCCCTTCAATCCACCAGTATATAATGTTTTAAGGGGGGGTCTATGGTTTTCATTTTTCAGGAACACCATGGCCATGCAGAAGAGCCACCCCTATGTGGAGCTGTTCACAAGCTACCCTGATAGGGTGGTGAATGTTGGAAAAGTAATTTTTGGCGAGAGAGCCAGGAACAAGACTGAGAGCATTTTGAGAAGGAAACAAATTGGTAACATTTCCCAAGCGGCGTGCGCCTTGCTGAATTCAGGAGGGGGAGTGATAAAGGCAGAGGCTGAAAATAAAGACTACAGTTATGAAGAACATGGGATTGGGCAGGATATAGAAAAAGCCCTTACAGAACTTATTCCATCTAAAACATTTCAAAAATACTTTGATTTTGAATATATGCGGGGAAATAACAATGTTTTAATTTTTGTGAAATCGTGGTGCGGCGACAGTTCCTTTTCACCCCGCATTTGCAGCCTAGGCACAGGCTTATGCCGAAGATCTCTTACTCACACTAAGACCGTGAGTCCTACTGAAGCAGCACAATTTCTCACAGAGAAGGCAGTTTTTGCCCGCAGAAAACATGATGAGAAGCCAGGACCAAGACCTAAGAAAGCTCTACTAAGTGATGTTCAGCAAGAAGATAACATATATGTGTCTGCTGAAAGGTTTTATCGCAGAGACCGTCTCTTTGTTGATGAAAAACTAAATTTCACTGAGTCAACACATGTTGAATTTAAGAATTTTCCAACAAAGAACATTTTGAAACGCATTAAAGAGATCCTGGCTAATTACATCTCTGCCTTTGCAAACACACAAGGAGGATTTCTGTTTATTGGAGTGGACGATAAAGGGACAGTTGTTGGATGTGGGAAGGACATCATAAATATCTATGAATTAAAAGGAGTAATAGAAGATGTTAAAGGGAAATTACCCATTGCTCATTTCTGCAGTTCTCTGCCTGGAATGGAATTCGAATGCAAAACGATGGAGGTGTATGAGAATCAAAGCTTGTACGGTTATGTCTGTGCTGTGAGAATCCAGCCGGTTTGTTGTGTGGTGTTTTCGGATACTCCAGACTCGTGGACTGTGAAGGGCAATGAAATCACAAGGATGACAGCCCAGGAATGGACAGCCCTGATGATGGCAACTGACCCAGGTTAACATGGAAAAAAAATTCTAGATTTGTAATTTGTCTCCATATTTGCACTAATGTCAGTATTTCAAGCATGGCAGCGCCATGATAACTTGATAAGTGGCCTTAAGTCACTGGTTGCTACTCCAGACTCTTACAAGGTTCTAGTGATTTCTGTCTGAAATTGCATTACCTGCTCTTGTAAGTTACACTTAAGCAGAGTAGCTTCTGCTCTTTTGGTCCCATGCAAATATCCCTGCCCTTCAATTTGTCTTTGATTTATGATACCTCCAATAATCAGTCAGCACCAACTCTGCCAACCCAAATCCTGCATCTACATGGCTAAGCCTAAATAGTGGAAACTTTATTGGCTTCCAACTTTGCATTTATCAGAATGAACCAAAAACTGGGGACACTTATCCCAGGATAATCCAAGAGATAATTACAGATGAAAACAACAGGACCAAGATCCAAAATCATGGTCCTGGTGTGTGGTTTTTCCTTAACCCTATAATGATAGAATCCCAGGGCTGGCAGAGCCCTCAGGAGTCATCCAGTCCAGCCCCCTGCCCAAAGCAGGACCAACCCCGACTTAATCCTCCCAGCCAGGGCTTTGTCAAGCTGGGACTTAAACAGCTCTAGGGATGGAGATTCCACCCCCTCCCCAGGGAACCCAGCCCAGCGCTTCCCACCTGCCTGGGGAAATAGTTTTTCTTAATATCCCGCCTAGTCCTCCCCCACTGCAACTTGAACCCTTTCCTCCCTTGTCTCCTTTTGTGGATTGCCAGAGGAATGGAGGGACCCAATTCTCTGCAGCTGAAATTCCACCGCGTACCCTGAGTTTGTGGCAGTAAGATTCTGCCCTTTCAGCCACCCGAAGGGGGCTCGCTGCCGTTGTGTACGGGTTCCCAGATAAGCACTTCTATTTAAATGAATTAACCTCATCTCGCAGTAAGTTTCCACAGGGTTCATTGACAATGGAAAAAAGAAATCACTTCTGTGCATGCAGAGTGGAAGGCCCAACCAAATTTAAAGTGCATTTTGGTTAATTTCATGATCATAGGATTTTTAAAAACTGCAAATTTCATGATTTCAGATATTTAAAGATGAAATGTCATAATGCTGTGATTGCGGTGGTGCTGATCCCTACCATTGTCAGGCGTTACAGTATTGTTACCCTTACTTTTGCACTGCTGATGGCGGCTGTGCTGCCTTCAGAGCTGAGCAACTCTGAATGCCCAGCTCTGAATGCAGATCCAGCAGCAGTGCAGAAGTCAGGATGGCCTGGTTTGATATTGCCACCCTTTCTTCTGCTCTGCTGCCTGCAGAGCTGGGCCCTCAATCAGAAACTACCTCTCTCTGGCTGACCAGCTGTGAAGGTGGCAGGGCAGAAGTAAGGGGAGCATGGCTAGGGTATGGTATTGCTATGCTTACTTCCGCGCTGCTGCTGGTGAGGCGCTGCCATCAGAGCTGGGTGCCTGGCCAACATCTGCCGCTCCCTGGCAGCAGCTCGGAAGGCAGTGCACAAGTAAGGGTAGCAGTACCATGATCCCCCCAACCCCAATAATCTTGCAGCGCCCCTTGCAACTCCCAGTTTGAGAGACGCTGGTCTCCCCACCAGGAAATATGTATAGCAGAGGGTAAAAACACATCCAAAAATAGATTTCATGGTGTGTGATGTGTTCTTCATGGCTGAGAATTTGGTAGGGACCTAGATATGATGGTGAGGGGGGTGCAATAACAGCATATGAACATGAACTTTATTTTTTTAGAGATTTCAGATTTATGTCAAGCTTTCTCGGCAGAGCTGAGTGTGTCATGTGCACCCCCACTCACCAAGTCAGTGTTTTCCAACAGTGGCCTCGTGTGTCTGCAGGATCTGCAAAAATCTCTATTTCCAGGTAGGCTTTTTGGAGTAAATTCTGATTTACTTATTTTAACATGATGAGTGAAGGTTTCAGTTAGAATGAATGTTAAATTAGAGTGGCAAAATACTTGCTCTGCTTTTGCCTCACATAGATCTGGCCTACACTAGAGCGGAAGATCATTATAAGATATGCAGCTGCAGCTATTAACAGCTGGAGTCAACATATCCTAAACAACCATCCACACAGCAGGAGGTCGACAGGATCAAACTCCTCATGAGAAGCAGGAGTACTGGCACTGACAGGGGCACCCTCTGAGTTTGATTTAGTGAGTCTTAGCTAGACCCACTAAATCGAACCCCGAAAAATCCACCATAGCAGTGTTGATCGTCTGCATAGCGTAGACATGGCCATACTTTTCAAATAGTTATGAGGACTACAAATGTGGAGCAGCATGCACTAAAGCATTGTATGAACTGGTTAAAACAAGCCACCTGGTAGGTCTTTATATTGACCTCTCTGAGTTCTCCTTGTTTCCTGGACTGTGCACTCCTGCCGTTGCTATATGATCACACATTTGGAAACACAAGAGTGAAGGGACCTCTAGAGGTCATCTAGTCCAGTCTCTTGTGTTCAAGGCAAGAACAAGTGATGTCAAGTGATCCGCTTTGGTATTTAATTCTGATTTCAATGTTTTTCACTTAAGAAAGCTGCAGGCACCATAGCATCACTGTATGCTGAATGAGTGTCCTGGCGTGTGTTTTGTGTGTGGCTCTTTGCAGAAAGAGGGAGACTTCGATGGATAGTAGGGATGTTAAATATCAGTTAATTGAATAGTCGATTAACCTAATGAATTCTTATTGGTTAGAAGACTATTCCATAGTTCCCAGGGGCTGGGCCGGCAGCCAGTGCGCTCCAGCCTCACTCCCAAGGAGCCCCTTGCCATCCCACACTGCTGCCTCATACAGCATGAGGCAGCAGTGCAGGGTGGCAGCAGACCCTGTCTTGGGCGGGTCTGAGCTCCTGGACCCGACGTGAGCTGGAACCAAGCTGGGCTGCCTGCCTGGCTCCTAATATGCTTTAAATGCAGAGCTGCAGTGGGGTTAGGTCCTGGACCTGTCACAAGCCAAGACTGAGCTGGACTGCTGGCCAGCCAGCTAAAAAATTTGCTGGTGTGGAGAGAGAAATGCATGTCTATAGAATTAACCTGTACGCTTTTGCTTATTGATTAATTGACTATACTACGCTATTATATCCCTAATGGATAGTAATGAATTGAACATGGCCTATTTGTTTACAAATGTACTTGTGACTATTTTTCTATTATTGTTCCAGCTGGGCTCGTTACACAAATAATATGGTATATTCATCTAACGAAGCGGGTCTTTGCCCATGAAAACTTATGCTCCAATAAATCTGTTAGTCTGTAAGGTGCCACAGAACTTCTCATTGTTTAAGTAATTATGACATGTCCAATAAAATAAGACTACTGATTTTTTTTTAACAAAGCACAAAATTAATGTAATCTTTGGTTTATTGGGAATCATTTTTTGCCAGTCTTGTTAGATGTGAGAGGTTTCAGTGTTCGTAACTCTAACGAGCCCAGAGCCATCCCATCCATAGGATGAATAGGGGTGGCCACCCCAGCCCCTGCATGTCTGGGGACCCATCGTATGGACAGGGGGTACCTAGGGGACTACCTAGGTTTGGGGGCTGGCATAGGAGCAACAGGGGTCACCCTTCCCCCTCACCATATGGGCTGTGGGAGCAGTCTGCTCTGACCCACCCTGTTGCCCTCTCTTGGCCCGCACCACCCTACTTCTCCAGGGCACTCCCACCACTCGTTGTGAGTGGAAGCAACCCTTGCTGCCGCCTTGCCAGGTCCCCCTTAATCCTCCAGGCCACATTGCTGGGGGCTCAGGAAAGGGGGGAAGCAGAAGCAACACCTGTGGCAGGGTGGGAGTTGCCCTGGGCATCACACCTCAGGCATTACAGGAGGTGGCCCCAGGCTCTGTGCCCTCCTCAGGACGGCCCCAAATAAAACATCTCTCTGCTGTTTATGGGTTCTTCACAGTATTGTTGATGTTAGTGTTTCATATTTGGATGGTGACATTGGTCATCGAAAGAAGGTGACTTGAGCTAGTGAAAAACACCAGGATGCAATATAATGCATTGACACTTTGTAAGGGAGAGTGGACTAGCTGAGGAAGGTGCATGTCCTAGAAATAATCAGTTATTTGCCAATTGTAGAACATTTTAAATATCTGTCCACACTGCTATGCAAAAGCAAAATGTACAGGAAATGCAGTCCTATAAAACACCTTCACTTTACCTTCCACAGACATACCACTCAGAACTCACCAGCTACATCTAGACTGGCATGATTTTTGGCAAATGCTTTTAATGGAAAAGTTTTTCCGTTAAAAGCATTTGCGGAAAAGAGGGTCTAGATTGGCACGGATGCTTTTCCGCAAAAGCACTTTTTGCAGAAAAGTGTTCGTGCCAATCTAGACGCGGTTTTGCGCAAGAAAGCCCCAATCGTCATTTTCACGATCGGGGCTTTTTTGCACAAAACAATACCGTGTTGTCTACACTGGTCATCTTGCGCAAAAGCATTTGCACAAGAGGGCTTTTGCCCAAACGGGACCAGCGTAGCATTTCCACAAGAACACTGACAATCTTTCATGAGATCATCAGTGTTCTTGCGGAAATTCAAGCGGCCAGTGTAGACAGCTGGCAAGTTTTTCCACAAAAGCAGCTGCTTTTGCGGAAAAACTTGCCAGTCTAGATGCAGCCACCAAGTCAAAGTCCTTTACCTCAGCACAAATCTCTCTGTGTGTCTGTCTGGGAGTGCATTTTTTCAAGAATTCCTCCTAAATGGCAAGAACTAGGGCCACCACATTCAGCAAGTAGCTTCCTCTTCTCCTAACTTACAAGTAAGGTCAGGGTTCCGTTGTGCCAGGACAACCGAAGTCCTGGGAAAGAGACTGTTTTCCATAACATGCAAAGAGTGGGGCTGCTGTTCCGAGACACACTGTACTGAGAGTGGCCACTGGGGGGCAGCCACACCACCAAGGGAGAGGCCACCAGGGCTGGGGCTCTGCCTTCTTGCCTGCCAGCACTCTGGGTAAGTAGCGCCCCTGCCCCAAACCTTCCTCCCCCAGCCCTCGGCCACAGTACTGGGTGAGGGAGGGGGTTGAAAAAAGATGCCTGGTAGCTGTGGCGAGGACTTACAGGGGGAGGGGAGTACAGGCAGCTGAGGGAGAGGAGGGGGGAGAAAAGAGAACAGTCTCCTGGCACCCAGCTTCCTCCCCCCTACACACACATCCCCAAGGCCCTGTCCTGAAGGACCCAGGCAGCCCTGGGTGAGTCCACTAGTACACTCATTTAACATGCAGACAAACTCCAAAGGCTGAGTACACAAGCCACTACACTTTTTGAACAAATGCCATATGGGAACATTTTGTTTTTTTAACTGCAAACAAACCCCAAAACCAAACCCTACAATATAGAATGTGATGAAACCTTCATTAAGAATTTCTTTTGCAAATTTAGAAAATAAAGAAATCCAGTTTGTCACCCACACTCTCAGCCATCTTCCCTTGTGCCCTTTATTTCTGCCAATTTCTCATATTCACCCTAATCCTTTCTTGAACAAGCTTGTTTTCATTTTTCTAATGTGGAATAGCAACACGTATAGTGAAACATAGTAAATATCAACGGCAGAGTGTTATTAATTTATTAATGACCTGGATGAGGGGATGGATTGCACCTTCAGCAAGTTTGCGGATGACACTAACCTGGGGGGAGAGGTAGATATGCTTGGGGGCAGAGATAGAGCCCAGAGTGACTTAGACAAATTAGAGGATTGGGATACAAGAGGTGTTTGTATCTCTAGAGGTGTTTAAGTATTGGCTTGACAAAGCCCTGGCTGGGTTGACTTAGTTGGGATTGGTCCTGCTTTGGGCAGGGGGCTGGACTTGACCTCCTGAGGTCTTTTCCAGCCTTATGATTCTATAATAGAGCCACATTCAAATATTTGTCCTGAGTTAGGGCTCTCTCATGTACTCTAACAGCAATAACCTAATGGCCTCACAGCTGGGAAGTACAGTTGAGGAAATCTCAGTTTCAATATTTTCCAGCATTTTTACTCTTCATAATCCTTTCAATGTTACTGATTAATTGCAATATAGTTTCAAGCATAAATTGGAATAACTTGTAAAATTACCTTTTCATGCTTTGGAAAAAAGAGACTAGCCATAAAAATGTTCATTTGATTCTAATTCTCTCCATTTCTAGTCAACTCTAACGGGATCACGTACAAGCCGGACAGCCTCAGCAAAGAGCTGTTCTCAGAGTATCCAGGGCTGGAGGATTTAATGAAAGCACAAATGAAAGAGCTGCAATGTACTCGGGGATTACTGATATTTGAGAAAAGCTGGGCTGTTGCTGTTGGATTGCCAAAGAGTCAGTGCGTTGTCTGTGATGCTCTCCTAATAGCCGCAGACAAATACCCAATGCTGTACACAGTCACAGAGGAGGATCCTTCTGGAGTTGGGTTTGAATATTCAAAGCGTATTGCTCAGACATTAAAGCTGAACCTGGTCAATGATGGGGGATATGCTCAGAAAGTCTGCGTGATTCCCCGTCACCTACAGCTTGGAACCAACATACAACAGAATAGAGATTCTCGTGTACAAGTCAAGTATCCCTTTACCTATGTTCTCTCGTCCACTGACGTATCAGACTTACTTCAGTCACTTGTAATAATCTTGTTGAGTTTTAGATCCTTCTTGAGTGACAAGCTTGGCTGTGAATTTTTCAACCTTCTCACCCTTAAACAATATGAGATACTAACCAAGAACCTTCACAAATTCAAGAAACTGTTTATCTATGGCCTGCCAGGAACGGGGAAGACAGTTGTGGCCCTGAGTATCATAGAGAGGATAAAGAACGTGTTCTGCTGTGACTCTGATGAGATTCTGTACATCTGTGAGAACCTGCCTCTGAAAACAATTGTGGAGTAAGTATTTTGTAGCTAATACAAGAAACTGATGTTAAATAATGTCCAATGGATGATGGGGGGACATGTGTTTATTGGTTGGTAAAAAATATTTGTCAGTCTAGGAGAAGACCTATTTTTCCTTCATTTAAAAAAAAACAAAACAGATCACTCTTCTCTCCGGCCTTGTCTATGTTAAGAGCCATCAACTGCTAATTCTCCATCAGTGTGTCTTACGGATGTTAATGGTTAACCAGTTACCTGGTGGGAGCTAGACCCCGTGGGACTTACCTCAGGCAGAGGTGCTCCAGTTCAGCTAGAGCAGCCCTTGGATGCAGCAGGCCTGGAATGACCCTCCTCCCATTTAATTGGTTAACTGGTTAAACATAACATTTAACCTGTTAGCCAATGAAACAGGATTTTACATCCCTACTGCAACTCTACTAAATAGTCAGACAAATCAATGGTAAAAATTCCCTCCCATTGCTGCCACCAGTGGAGTTGTCAGAAGTTCTCCGGTGCGGAGATGATGCCATAGGTGAGAAGGCGATTTGCACGTTGTAAGACAGTCAGAGCAGGTAGTAAGGCATTTGGAAGGTCTTTCTTGATAAACCATTTTGGGTCAGATTCACCCCTCACTGGAATGGGAAAATTGGACCTCTATGGGCCAGCTAACTCCTTGCACCCAGCAGGGATTCAGCCGTTGTGGGAGTTAGACAGGGTTTCTTTTCCTCTCCTCCCTTGGGGCTGAATTTGGGGAAGGTCAGCTTTGGTTTGTGCTGGCTGCTCTATGGAGCCTTCCTCATATTCTACCCTCAGGCCAGGACTCCACAAGACCTGGAAGGTCAGTTTAAGACAGTGGTCACCAACCTGTAGATCGGGATCTACTAGATCGTGGAGCCTCTGACAGAGGATCCTGACTGGTTTGGCCGGGCAGCTATCAAATGCTGGCACTTCAGTTGTCCCTGAAGGGGATGGAGGGAGCTTGGCAATGCAAATCTCTGTCACTCTCACACTGTGTGTCGGCCATTCTCACACACACGCACTGTCCTTCATGCTCATCTCCCCACCCCACACACACGCAGGGGGGTTGTTACTTTGACTGCTGGCAAAGTGGGTTATTTTGGGGTTCTGGCTGGTCTGGGCATTTCATCATTTTCATTTCTCTCTAATGCTTAAGTGTAATTCTCTGAGCAGTGAGTTCTAAAACGCCCAGCCTGGCGTGGCTGGAGTCATTCTCCCCGTGGGAACTGCTGCTCCTGGAGGTGGCTGGCATGTCCCTGCAGCCCCTGAGAGAGGCAGAGCAGGGGGTCTCCACATGCCGCCCTTGCCTGCAGACACCGCTCCTGCAGCTCCCCTGGATCAGCCAGTAGAAGCTGTGGGTTCAGTACCTGTAGGTAAGGGGCAGCCCATGGAGCCATTGCCGTCCATGCCAAATGCTTTCAGGAGTGGGCCAGGGCCAGGGCAGGAGTGAGCCACCTTAACCCCTTTGCTCCACCAGCTGGAAGCCATCTCAGTTAAACGGTGCCCAGCCAGAGCCTAATTCCTGAACCCTTGTCCCAGCCCTGAACCTCCTCCTGCACCCAACCTCCTGCCCCAGACATGAGTTCCCCTGCACCCCAACTCCTTCCCAGAGCTTGCCCCCTGAAACTCCTCCTGGACCCCTATTCCCGAAGCCCCTCCCACACTCCAAACCCCTTGGCCCAAGACTAGAGCCTGCACCCCAACCCGCTACCCAGCCTGGTGCAAGTGAGTGAGGTTTGGGAGGAAGGGAGATGGAGTGGAGCAGGGTGAGGCCTCGGAGAGGGGTGAAGCAGGGGCAGGGCCTCAGAGAAGGGGCAGGAAGGAGAAGGGGCAAGGGGATTTGGGTTTGAGGTAGATCTTACATTGCACTTATATTTAAAAAGTGATCTTGTGGTTAAAAAGGTTGGAGAGTGCTGGCTTAAGGTATACAACTCTGGCTATGTAGAAAACATAGTGCCAGCCAGAGTACATGTGCCTGCCAGAGCTGCCCTCAGCATTTGATTTAGTGGGTCTATACTAGACCCACCAAAGCGAATGCCAGAACATTGATCTCTGGCACGGTGGGTGAAGACATACTCTCAAGGTTTCCTCGCCCCTATTTCCCTCCCTTGGTCCTAATGTCTCGCCCATCTGTTTTCTCTCTACCCATGTCTCTTTATCCAGAGCTATTCTCTTCTTCCACGCTCTGCCATTGCGTTTAGGCCTCTTTCCCAACCAGTCTCCCAATTCTTCCTCTCACCCATATTTATCAATCCTCGGGTTCCACCTCCGTCGCCCCTCAAAACTGTTCTGCCCTCATGCCCAGCTCCCTTCTAGCCCTGTCTCTGCAGTCCCAACACACCCGGTGCGGCAGCTGCTCAGGGTAAGGAGGTGGCTGGTCACTGCTTCCTGCTCCTCCCTGTCTGCTGGCAGGGGTAGGGATGTGCCATCGATGCAGGGGGCTGCCGCGCTGCTTTCACCACTCTGGGCATGACATTTTGTTTAATAGTTTGCTCATCAGGGCTCATTCATTCCAGAAGTCAAGCTTGATTTCCCTGCCACCCCACCACATGCCAGCCAGGCAGTGTTTCACTGGTCAGTCCTGGGGTGTCCAGCTGAGTGGCTTCTGAGTCAACATGTGGCCTTCTCACCCGCATCGAATACTTAAACCATGTTTATACGGAGAAAAACCCTAATTATTCACATATCCACTAAGGCTAGAGCAGCAGAAAGGGCCTTAATGAAAATGAGACTACAGCCCATATCTTACATTTAGAATATGTTCACTATGGCTGTGTCTACATTGGCAAGATTTTGCGCAAAAGCAGCTGCTTTTGCACAAAATCTTGCCGCCTGTCTACACTGGCCATGAGTATTTGCGCAAGAACACTGACGTTGTAATGTACAAAATCAGGGCTTCTTGCGCAAATACTCTGACACTCCCGCTCAGGGATAAGCCCTCTTGCGCAAGAAAGCCCAATGGCTACAATAGCCATCAGAGCTTTCTTGAGCAAGAGAGTGTCTACGCTGGCACAGATGCTTTTGCACAAAAGCACATGCCAGTATAGAAGCTCTCTTGCGCAAATACTTTTAATGGAAAAAACTCTTCCATTAAATGTATTTGCGCAAAATCATGCCAGTCTAGACAGAGCCTATTTGTATATGTTGAATGAGACCCTAAGTAGGGGCGGGTAAAATACAGCCATAGTTGCACAAACCCACAGAAAATACACACTCGTTGTGCCAAATGTTTCTTTTCTTTTCTTTTGTAGAAATAGAAACATTTGCCAGGCTGTGACCCGAGTGGCTTTCCTAAAAGGGAATTATCCATCAGCGAAGCACGTGGTTATTGACGAGGCCCAGAATTTCCGGTCAGAGAATGGCGATTGGTACGACAAAGCGAAGCGCATCACCCAAGGAAATGGTCCTGGGGAACCTGGTGTCCTCTGGATCTTCTTGGATTATTTACAAACAAGTCACCCATTTCTGTGCGGTCTTCCACCTCCATCAGAGCAGTATCCCCAGGAGTGGCTAACGGTCGGGGTCCGGAATGCCACACAGATCTACAGCACCATGCTACATGAGATGCAAAATATTGTAGACTCTCCCCAAATCGACATTCCTTTTGAGCGGTTAAAAATGCTGCTCAACGAAGCTAAATGTGGCCATCCTCTATCAGGTACGTGTACTGTACAAACAAATTGGGAGAAGGATGAAATAGTCACATATGTGGCTGTCACTTGTTCCCAATATTTCCAAAATGGTTACTCTGGGAAAGACATTGCTATCTTGTGCAACACAGCAGAAGAGGCGAAGACGTATCTGAGGCTCCTACAACACAAAATGAGACGTTTCAGGCAGGATGTGCGGTTCACAAAAGCAGATGCCGTGCTGGGAAATGGCATTGTTCTTGACAGCATCCGCCGCTTTTCTGGCCTGGAAAGAAACATTGTGTTTGGTGTCAATCCAGTCCCTAACCCTACACAGATGGAGATTTCTGACAGTCTTAAGCTCTGTGTGGTATCCAGAGCTAATTTACACCTTCATTTGCTGTATGAAAGTAATGCTTGAAACTATCATGGCGGTTCACTTGGGATCTGTTTAATAATCCGTGTAGGATTTCCCTTTGGTGCCAGCTATGTGCAGAGACTGGTAGTCATAGTGGCTACGTCTACACTGGCCCCTTTTCCGGAAGGGGCATGTAAATTTCACTAGTCGTCGTAGGGAAATCCGCGGGGGATATTTAAATATCCCCCGCGGCATTTAAATAAAAATGTCCGCCGCTTTTTTCCGGCTTTTAAAAAAGCCGGAAAAAAGCGGCGGACATTTTTATTTAAATGCCGCGGGGGATATTTAAATCCCCCGCGGATTTCCCTACGACGACTAGTGAAATTTACATGCCCCTCCCGGAAAGGGGGCCAGTGTAGACGTAGCCAATGTGTTTATGGTTTTTCACTCACAATTCAGATGTAAATACAAAATCAACCTTAGGCAAAGTTTCAGCCTGGAGGGCTTTCATCTCCCAGGCTAATAAATTACAAGAGACCTGAGGGTCTTAAAAAGCCAGGCCCTAACATATCCCAAAGCAGCTGTGTGGGATACCATGAAAATGGTCCCTTTGGGTTCATCTGTAGTGGAGGGCTTCCTGCCTCCATGTTCCCCACTGCAGCATTTGTGTTGGCCTGGGCTGTCGGGGGTGAACTGACAGGTAGGAGGCAGTGTGCAGGCACGCGAGAGAGGTCCCAGTCCCGCACTGATTCTCTGTACAACACATGGGCCAGTGCTTCCAGAATGGCCTCGGATATTTGGGTGCCCTGCTGCGCAAGATGCACCGAGTGGGATACATGAGCAACTTAGGTGCCTGAACTCTGGACTGCGGCCGCTAAATCTCTGCCCAGCGCCACTGTGAGCCTGGCTGCAACTTCACCCTGTCGGGACCTAAGTTGACTCAATTCCCTAGGCCCCAAGTTCATAGAATCATAGAACTGGAAGAGACCTCAGAAGGTCAAGTCCAGCCCCCTGCTCTAGGCAGGACCAATTCCAACTAAATCAACCCGGCCAGGGCTTTGCCAAGCCGAGACCTAAACACCTCTAGGGATGGAGACTCCACTACTTCCCTAGGGAACCCATTCCAGTGTTTCACCACCCTCCTAGGGAAATAGTTTTTCCTAATATATAACCTGGACCTCTCCCACCACAACTTGAGACCATTGCTCCTTGTTCTGCCATCTGTCACCACTGAGAACAGCCTCTCTCCATCCTCTTTGGAACCTCCCTTCAGGAAGTTGAAGGCTGCTATCAAATCCCCTCTCACTTTTCACTTCTGCAGACTAAACAGACCCAACTCCCTCAGCCTCTCCTCATAAGTCATATGCTCCAGCCCCCTAATCATTTTGGTTGCCCTCCGCTGGACCCTCTCCAATGCGTCCACATCCTTTTTGTAGTGGGGGGCTTTTTAAGTTTATTCTGTACAGATTAACTCGTCTACCCCATGAAGATTTTTTTAATCAGACTCTGATCATTTTGTTGTACCTCACACTCATTAAAATACGGAATTAGCATCCCTTCATTCGTGCCCTGGTACAAATGTGTAAGAATTCTACTTTACTTGAGTACTGTAGGGTTTTTTTGTGCTGGTGAGATCAGACAATTTGGTTTGTGTACCACAGGTTTGTTTGCAGGACTGCTGTGTGATTGTGTTCTGGCTGAATACTCTAGAGCCTGCTGTGTAATTCCCATCTTCTCTCAATTGTATGATTATCTTAAATTCGATAAAAAGAAAGTTTAAGAAATGGGGTGTGTAAATCAGACCTGTCAGAGAAAGGGCATACTGGGAGCACATATTTAACTGTGTTTTATGTGAGAATTTATAGTGTTTGCCAATAATATATGTATTTACCACACAGAGTGCCAGAAACATACTCTAATGTGTAATGTGACTTGTTTTACTTTTCAGATATACTTTAAAAGAAGCAAACATGTTCCCCTAGGTTGGAGAATTTATTCTTTTTTGCCAACACATACCAATTCTTCTCCCTTGTAATTTCTTTCATTTCAATAATCACATTGGGGGTCGGGGGAGAGGAAAAGTGTGAATGGACATGTTTGAAGAACAGTAGCAAAAACATTTACAGAACACTGCTCTCATCCTTAGGGACAATGAGAGCACAGTTCAGAGCAGGAAAGTGGGTGCACAGGTGTCCTTTAGTGATATCTTCCTAATCATTTCCTCTCATCCAAGTGCCTCAAAATGGATTCCTTAAGGATCCCTTCCATGATTTTTCCAGGAACCGAGGTAAGACTGACTGGCCTATAGTTCCCTGGATCGTCCTTCTTCCCTTTTTTGAAGATGGGCACTACATTTGCCTTTTTCCAATCATTCAGGATTTCTCCCGATCTCCATGACTTTTCAAAGATAATAGCCAAAGGCTCGTCAATGACATTTGCCAACTCCTTCAGTACCCTCTGATGCATTAAGTCCGGACCCATGAATTTGTGTATGTTTAACTTTTCTAAATAGTTCCTAACTGTTCTTTCCCCACCATGGGCTGTCCATCTTCATCCCATCTTGCGTCACTTGGCGCAGAAGTCCAGGAGCCGACCTTGTCCATGAATACAGAGTTCTAGATGAGGGGCCTGCTGCCTCCCTGGGCACTTGTCTCACCGACACCAAGCGTGAGTCACAGGCCAGGGCAGAGACATCTGACCCCCTAAGTTGTGTGATGGTGGCGACCTGGTAGCATGTTCAGAGGCTGCTTAACACTGAGTCCCTCTCAAAAGCTGGTCTGAGGAGAAGGCGGCAGTGAGGCCCACCTCCAAACTTTCAGCCTGGCTATGTCTAGACTGCAGGCTTTATTTTCTAAAAGATCCCAGTCTAGACTGGTGCTTTTTTCCAGCAAAGCTCTGAGCCGGAAAAAAGCGGCAGCCATGTTTATGCAAATGAAGCAGGGGGGATTTAAATTCCCGCTTCATTTGCAATTGCGATGTGTCTAATTTGCATCCCTTTTACGGAAAAGGGATGCAATCTAGACACAGCCCCTGTGTTTAGAGCACTTTCCTGGGATGAGGCAGGTGTCGGTATCCTTCCCTCTTTTCAGCCTGAGGGGGAGGAGGGATTTGAGCCAGGGTCTCACCTCTCAGGAAGGTGCTGTAACCCCTGAGCCGGTGGCATATTGTGATGCATAGCTCCCTCAGATGCTCCTGAGGAATCTGTTCCCTTCAGCTAAATAGGGTGAATGGAGCAGGGAGACTAGAGCAAGGTGAGTGCGTCAACCACTGGGCCAGAAAGTCCCCCTCCTGGGGTACATACGGCCTTGCGGCCTACTCCTCAGGCTTTCCTGTGCTTCAGAGTGCCGCAGTGGGAGGGGAGGACATGGGGACCTGGGCCCTTCCACTCCACTGGGTCCCAGCCCAGGGCCCTATTGTCAGTGGAACAGTCCACTGCTTGCTCAGCAAGGGGGCTTCTCCCCTCAATCAGCTAAGCACTCGGTGTGCTATCACTCCCTGCCCTGGGCTGCTTCCCACCTCCCCGCGGTTGTCCACTGTCGTACCTGTTCCGGGGCCAGGGCTGTCGTGGTGGTTGCGGCATTGGCTCTGGCTGCGTGGACTCCTCTGACTCAGGAGCTGGCTCTGCAGGTCCTTCCCCATCATCCGTCAGCCCCCAGTGAGCTGTCTCAGGGCCTTCTATAGTGTGGTTTTTGCACAAAGAAGCAGTGTAGCTGCTTCCATTTTGCGCAAGCCCCTTGTTTTGTGCAAGATCCTTATGCCTGTCCCGAAGAAGCGGGCAAATATTAGCATATTTTCTGACATTTCTTTTGCAAAAACCCCTTGCACAAAAATAAATGGCAGAAAATATGCTAATATTGTTACGACTTATGCTAATGAGTCCCTCATTAGCATATTTTCTGCTGAAAAAACTTGTAGTATAGATGATCTACGCGGGGGGCTCAACAAAGACTCTGGCTATTTTACCCATTACAAAGATAGCCTCCCCAATTATCACCTCTAATACCATTAGCTCACAGACATTTACCTTCCCCCCCTTCTGTTCTGAAATGTGATTTGTCCTTTTCACATGTGTTCATTTTTTTGATTGTAACCTTTGGTATATATGGTTGTGACTATTTTCTTCCACTATTTGATCTGAGGAAGTGGGTCTGGCCCACGAAAGCTCATCATCTAATAAACCATCTTGTTAGTCTTTAAAGTGCTACATAGTCCTGTTGTTTGTTGTAATATAGATGTAGCCCTAGAGAAAGATTATTTCTTATTGATAGAACCATTAAAACATGTTGATTTGCAACCAAAAATAGCCTTTACACAGAAAAAAATATCCCGTTAGCTGTAAATGCTTTTTTTAACTATAATGTATCTCTTAATTTTTAAGAATCTGACTCAATGTATGGTATTGTTAGAGAATGGTGATAATTTGAACTTGTGATTTGTGTCAATCTGCAGTTGGATATGTCAAGAGGCACCTTGTCCACCCGCCAGCGAGGGTGGGGAAAGTCTGCTGCAGCCCCTCAGATTCCCATTCGAAATAGGGTAGCCTATCGGCCACAAAGTCTATGCACTAGAACGTAGGGCATAAGAACATAAGAACATAAGAACGGCCGGACTGGGTCAGATCAAAGGTCCTTCTAGCCCAGTAGCCTGTCTACCGACAGTGCCCAGCACCAGGTGCCCCAGAGAGGGTGAACCGAAGACAATGATCAAGCGATTTATCTCCTGCCATCTCTCTCCAGCCTCTGACAAACAGAGGCCAAGGACACCATTTTATCCCCTGGCTAATAGCCTTTTATGGACCTAACCTCCATGAAATTATCTAGCTTCTCTTTAACCTCTATTATAGTCCTAGCCTTCGCAGCCTCCTCTGGCAAGGAGTTCCACAGGTTGACTACATGCTGTGTGAAGAAGAACTTTCTTTTATTCGTTTTAAACCTGCTACCCATTAATTTCATTTGGTGACCTCTAGTTCTTCTATTTAGGGAACTAATAAATAACTTTTCTTTTTCGGCCCTCTCTACACCACTCATGATTTTATAGACCTCTATCATATCCCCCCTCAAGTCTCCTCTTTTCTAAACTGAAAAGTCCCAGTCGCTTTAACCTCTCTTCATATGGGACCCGTTCCAAACCCCTAATCATTTTAGTTGCCCTTTTCTGAACCCTTTCCAAGGCCAAAATATCTTTTTGAGGTGAGGAGACCACATCTGTACACAGTATTCAAGGTGTGGGCGTACCATAGTTTTATACAGGGGCAGCAAGATATTCTGTGTCTTATTTTCTATCTCTTTCCTAATAATTCCTAGCAATAATTCCTAATATTTCCTAATAATTTGCCTTTTTGACCGCCGCTGCACACAGTGTGGAAGTTTTCAGAGAACTGTCCACGATAACTCCAAGATCCCTTTCCTGATTTGTCGTTGCCAAATTAGCCCCCATCATACTGTACGTATAGTTGGGGTTATTTTTCCCAATGTGCATTACTTTACACTTATCCACATTAAATTTCAGTTGCCATTTTGTTGCCTTGCAGCACACTAGTGTCCCATGGAACACAGTTTAAGAAACCCTGGTGCAAATGGCTTAACCTTGCAAAGTGCCCCCACCTCTTCCATATGGAGACTGATCCCTTTGCAGTGTTGTCCTAAGCATCCCAAAGGTCCTGGAATGGGATTTCATAAGTGTAGGGGAAAGGCACAATATCCCTGAGTCCCAGGAGTAGAAGTTTCCAAAGGGAGGAAGGACAGAGCCAGCTCTTTTATGCAATATGGCTTTCATTTGCATTTAGTCATTTTCAAAGGTTTTGCTCCAAAATTAATGAACAGCAAGAGGAGTAAGAGTTTCTGCAAAGAACGCTTCGAGCCAGCGAATGCCAGCAACAAAGATAGATGGTGGGGAGGAGGCTAAAAGTAGAAGATAACTTGAATGAAATTCATTTTCACACACAAGGCTGGTGCAAAAGTCTCCTCCCACTTCTTGTCCTGCAATGGGACTGGAAGGGAAGCAGCGTGATGCATCTTATACTCCTAAAAATAATGAGACTTTCTACCAGTCTCTTGCAGTGAAGCAATAACATGGTCTGCTGCACAGCTGGCATTCTGGGTCCTGTTGTGTGACCTGGGCAAGTCCTGCTTCTCCGTGTTGCCATTTCCCCTGCTGCACCTCGTGGATTTCCCTTTACAGAAACCATGTTGACTTTTGTTCAACAAATTATGTTCTTCTATATGTTTCACAATTGTATTCAGAGTAGTACAGGCCAGCGGCCACACAGTGTACTCTAGAAGCCTCAGTCAGTGTGTAATCCCCCAGTATTGATACGCCCATCACAGGATGGAAATTGGAATTTATTCATAAAGAATCCATTGAATATTCTCACTATTATTTGCATTCCAGGGATAAGAACACCACCAAATATTTTCAAAAAGCCAACCAAACTTCTTTCTGAACGTGAGGTGAGACTTCAGCCATTCACCTCTGTTCTTCTGTCACCACTTGGAATTGGTGACATACAAAAAGTTGTGGTTTTTTTTTGTTTTGTTGTTTTCTGAACCAATGGCAGCTAAATACATTGCAGGCATTGATTCTTTCATGGCAAGTTTGGTGTGTTCATGGCTAGGGATGAAATCTTAACCCCCAGGATTGACTAGGACTTAACTCAAATGTATTTTTCCCCAAAAAGTATGCCCTGTACTCAAAGCCTCTGCAATTCAACTGGATTTCCTTCGTGGATCCGGTCCACTTCCAGACCTTCCGCATGTTTTCTCCTCCTGCTTGGTATCTCTCACCAGCTGGCGTGACCTGGGTCTTATGCCTGGGAGAAAGGTTTGATCAGCCCATAGTCCATGCACTTCACGAGACACTCGCGAGCCACATTAATGACGTGCTGTTTGGTGGCGTCGTCTGCCTGTTTTCCAATGAGTGTCAGGATCTCCAGCATCTCACTCTCCACCAGTTTCTTGGCCAGCTCTTGGTCTGCGTGGATGAGGTTGCAAGCAACCACTAGTCCCCGGTGTTGCACCTCCAACTTCTCGTGCAAGCAGAGCCTCTGCAGGATTTCCAGCCACTGTGTTGTCTGCAAAGGAGGAAGAGCCGTAAGTTTACAGAAGAGGTTTTTAGAGCAGGTTAGTGTCCCCCTTCCCAAGGCACTTTGCAAGAGGGTGAAAGTAGCAATTTAGGTTGGAGAAGATTCTATAAACAGGTCAGTTCCACTGCAGAAAAACTGATCTCTGCAGAAAACATCCGAGCTGTGTGCAGATAAGTCAAATACAAATGGAATACACTAGTATAACACCAAAAGGTAAGTAAAGTCTCAGAGGGTGGTGGGGAAGGAATGGTAGGACCATGAGGGCAGGGGGCTGGACTTGATGACCTCTTGAGGTCTCTTCCAGTTCTAGTATTCTGTCATTATTTAATAACAATAGATGTTGAGATTCAGAAAGTTAAAGCACCATCTAGATCATCCCTGATAGATGTCTATCCAACCTGCTTTCAAATATCTCCAGAGATGGAGATTCCACAGACTTCCTAGGCAATTTATTCCAGTGTTTAACCACCCTGACAGGAAGTTTTTTCTAATGTCCAACCTAAACCTCCCTTGCTGCAATGTAAGCCCATTGCTTCTTGTTCCATCTCCAGGCGCCAAGGAGAACAATTTTTCCTCCTTCTGCCTTGTAACACCCTTTTAGATACTTGAAAACCGCCATCATGTCCCCTCTCGGTCTTCTCTGTTCCAAACTAAACACATAATTGTCTGATCTCCCCTCAATTTCCTACAAGTGCAAACATTTTAAAACAATAAAAATGGAAAAAATAATTGAACACAATCAACCATTTCCACTGCCATGATAAACAAATACAAACAGAACCCTGCCTCACCTAGCTGTGATGTTCTTGGGGTCACACCAACTATTGGCATTGGACAGGAGAGAATACAGAGTGCAGGACAGACGCTGCTACCCCAAGCCCCTAGTGAGACGAATGGGCACCCCGCAGGTGAATGAGGCTGTTTCTGTCCTTGGTACATTAACATGGGAACATGGGGCAGGAAGTTTCCCCATCAGCTTTAGTAGGTCACGCTTTTGTTAGAGGTCACTCAATTAGACGGTTCGCTTAACCCTATCATTTTATACTTCAAACTATTCAAAGGTCTTCCCTAGGACTCAGCATAAATACTTGTTTGCTGCTGTAGCTGTTCTTTAAAATGCTGAGGGGCCCCTTGGGTCAGAAATGTACAACATACCCAGGCTGCCTTTGAGACGATTCAGTGTTTGGGGCATTGAGTTTCCCCTCTTACCACTTGGGTCATCTTATGGCAGAGTTTCTTGTGCGCCGCGGTCAGCATGGCCAGGGCTCCTGCTGCTGCATTCTGCACCTTTGTGTCGTCCTCGCCGCACAGCAACACAACCAGCTTGAGCCGGTCGTTTCCATCGGCCAGAAATCTCTCTTGAACCTCCAGAGTGAAATGCAAACATGGGTGGTGAGTCACAAGGCTGAGGGAATTCAGGCTGGCCGAGCAATTTCACAGCCCGTTGGACAGAAACACACAACAGAACACATTCCTCAACAGAAACAGACAAAACGTATCTAGAAATTGCCACACGACATCGGCCCAGTGGGCCACCGAAGTCCGGCTTCCTGTCTCAAACATTTCAGAGTCAAGTTCAAGCAGGGGAAATCTGTTGTGAAGACCAGGAATTGAACAGGGTTCCAAAGAGAGCTAGATAAATCCATGGCGGTTGGGTCCATCAATATTTATTAGCCAGGATGGGGAGGAATGGTGTCCCTAGCCCAGGAGCAGGCGATCGTTTTTAAAAGGGGGCCACATCACAGATTTCTGAAGTGGCCCCGGGCTGCCCCAGAAGGGGCGGGGCCAGGAGACTGCTCCCCCGCCCACAGACCCTGATTGGCCTGGGGGGGAGCATGTAAAATCTCCCCTCCACTACCTCCCCCAAGACAACCTGGGGGTGGGGCCAGGGTGTGTCGTCTTTCACCTCCTGCCCCACCAATGGCATGTTGGGGCGAAAGGGAAACAGAAGCCATTTTAAAACAGCTGCCCTGGGAGACAGGTGGAGACTTCACAGGCTCCCCCGACCCCAGGCCTTAATTGGCCTGGGGGTGGGGGAGGGAGCCAGCGGCTTGGCAGGCCGGATGCATCCTGCAGAGGCCGCTTTGCCCACCCCGTGCTAGATTCTGACAGAGGCTGGGAATGGGCGACAGAAGGATCACCTGATTCCAGAGGTGTAGTGAGGATGTTATGCGCCCGGGGGCAAAGGCAAAATTTGCGCCCCTCCCCCCACTGCCACTGCATGGCAGAGCCCCAAACCTGACACACGGCTGAGCCCGACCCTGGGAGGGGGGGGGGGGGGGGTTTTGG